ATATCTAAAATAATCAAAGTCAATTATGTTTTGGAAACAAATTAGGGAGTGGGAGGAATTTTTTGGTTTTTTGGAACTTTTCTTTTGAGGTAAGAGAGGTTAGAAGAAATGCCAGTGTATTTATATGTTGTAAGGAATCTAGTAAAGATAGGAAAATTGATGATACAGAAAAGAGGACACAAAATTCAATGAAAAGCAGTCCACGGTCTCAACATTTACTCATGCTTGATAATAAAAACAGAAACCCACCTTTCACTCAGATAAACAATGCTTCCCCAGTGCAAAATCCGGGGCCATGCATGAAGTCTTTTGCAATTTTCTTTAAATGGCATTTTACAGAAATCAGAATAACAAATAAGAGAAAAAAACAGGGGAGCAATGGTGCAAAAGAGTTACTGCCATTTGACAACTCCCAGGCAACAGCTAGGAGGCCGAAGAGAAGAGAGTGCGAAGGAAGGGGAAGACCCTGCGTTTTCTCTGACCCCTTATCTCTGGCCAAGTTCAGCCTAGCAGCTGCTGTGAGGATCTCGATTCCAAGAACAGTTACCTAGCAAACCAGTTAAATCTGAGATAATTAACCAAACATTCTGACTGGGAGTATTTATTTAAAATTCCGATCGGGTAGATAGTGAAGAACGAAATTCTTTTTTTTTCCTGGGGGGAAGGTAATCAGGCTTATTTATTTTTTTTTAGAAGAAGTAGTGGGGATTGAGCCCAGGACTCATGCATGCTAAGCATGCGCTTTACCATTTGAGTTATCCCCTTCCCCCAGAAATTCTTAATTTTATTAGAAGTGAGACCTGAACTCTATCACCAAAATGTCCACCATCCCAATTACACAGTATCTGGGACTGACCAGGGTGAAGGTAAGTAGAAACGTCAGTATTACCTGATCATGTAACCGATTCGCTTCACAAACTGCCTATAGCGTGCTCTATTAAAAGTTTCTAACCCCACAGCCAGAAGCTCCACTAAGGAGTTAGCAAAGGCAAACGTTTTCATCATCTCTTGAGGTCTTGTTATTTCAGGTAAATAATCACCTAGAAGTTGATCAAAGAAAAAAAAACTTGTAATTACTATGGGAAAACACTGAAAGATACAGATGTAAATACTTCGATGAGGAAACAAGGCCAAGATGGAGAATCCCCACTGCTCTGGCTCCCATGTCAACATGATACAGGAAACTTGAGACAAAGTGTAGAATTAACACAGTTCATTAAAGCTGAGCAGTGCGCCGCTGGTCAACCTTTTTGCATCGCAGCACTGGGGAGGAAACTACAATCACAAGAGGAAGAAAGGAAGCCTCATCGGGGGGGAGGGGAGGGCAATCATTTCCGTAGAGTGTGACCAGGCACAGGGGGACCTGAATCGGAGCCTGCACGGGATGTGATGCTAAGTTCCTGTGTCTGAGCTCGCCCCTCCCGCACTTCACATATGGCAAAGGCAATTAGCCTACCTTTTGCTTTAAACCCAAGAAGATGCTGAAAAAGTTCATGAAATGGAAACTGGGATAAAAGAATAACCAAGTCATCTTCATTAAGGAGACTCCAACTGGTCTCAGGGTCTTCATCCTGAGGGAAAGGAGGCAGAATCATGTCAGCTGATTTGATCAGATCACGCCATGGTCTAGAGTTACAGGAGCTGCACTATTACAGGTCTTGACGGTACACCTGTGGTATTCTCATGAGCCTTCGGGGACTTCTCATCCAGGACAGAGATTTATATTATCAGTTCCATTTGACGACCTGAAAAATCCCCTGAAAATACAAGCACAATTTTATGTGTATCTGGGTCATATCCATTCTTCAGTGGCTGAAACTGCTCTCATTAAATTTCCATCCCAAAGAAGATTTTAAAAATTCCTTTAGGGTGGGAATCTTACTATAAAGCTCAGTGTTCTGACATCAATTAAAGAACAAGACACTAGAATCCAAGTGATTTTACCTACAAGTCTTTCCTTGCCCCAAAATTAAGATCTACCGCAATACTCAACTGACTTATCAAGAAGCAATTAACATTTGCGAAGGATAACTGAAGTCCTGCTGTCAATCAGTACTACTGAAAACAGGATAGAAATAATAGTGGGCATACACAGGGATCACGTAAGGGGAACAGCTGGGGTATTCTGTTAGATACGGAGCACTAAAGTATCCTTAGAGACCAAATCTGTGTCCTAAGATCGGCGTCCTAAGATACGCTACGTTCAGAAGGGAGTACTGTAAAAAGACTCAGAGATCCTGAAGAATGTACCTCCTCAACTTCAACAAGGGGCTAATGCAATTCATTCACAACTTTCTGAAGCCACTCATTTTTAGCCTCTTATGTGTCCCAGATGGCTAGCAAACAAGAGCCTCAGAAACTCTACCTAGAGCAGCAGTTCTCACTTCAGATGGAAACTAGAATCACCAGGGAGGCTTTTAAACACTCGGATGTCTGGGTGTGGGCCGGGGACCAGCTAGTTTCAATACACAGTGTCAGGTTGCCAGTGTCAAGAAACCTCTAATGTGGACAATCCAGAGAGCCTTCTGCCACACAGCTTTTTCTGAGTCAACAGCACTCCTAACAGTCTCTTCCCTCCCCAGGGTCCTGAATCCACTCAGCATTCAGTGAGGGCTAACCAGGGTCCTTAACCAGTACCTGTCTCTGGGATGAAACGCAGGAAACCTATCAGAAAAAAAAAGACTAATCTGCTCCATAACGATCTTTAAAAGACCAGACTGCACCAGCTCCTGAGAAGTTCTCTCCAGGATGACTGTTCAGTCTCCAGCAAAAATGCCTACATATCCACATCATTTCCCGCCGCCCCACTGCCTCCTACAAGCCACAGGAAGAGCAAAATGAGTGTGAGGGGGCTCCCACTTCTGAATGGATCCTTGGGTGAATACGCAGACACGATTCCACAGCTGCCACGATGTCATTCTAAGGAGTGTCCACTGCAACCTTTCAACTCCTTTTAAAGAGAAGGGGTTTGAGTGACAAATCAGGAGTTGGGGATTAGCAGATACAAATTGCTACATACAAAACAGATAAACAACAAAGTCCTACTGTACAGCACAGGAAACTATATTCAATAGCTTATAATAACCTATAATAAAAAAAAGAATATAAAGAACAATGTATATACATATACATGTATAACTGAATCACTATGCTGTACACCAGAAACTAACACAATATTGTAAATCAACTATATTTCAATCTTTTTTTGATTTTTTTTAAATAAATAAATAAATAAATAAATAAATAAATAAATAAATAAATAAATAAGAAAGGGTTTTACTAAATCCAGTCCCTGGCCAATCTTGCAAAGGAACATCAAGTCAGGATTTAGACCATAAAAACACACTAGGACTGATAACTAGCTGGAAAAAAAGAAATTCCTCACCAATATACTGACCATGTGTATAGTAGAAAGAAAAATCAATAAGTATTATCTTGAGAAATTGGATTTTGATCATTAAATTGTCATCTAAAATAGAGAACCATCTTCTGTCTTTCAAGTGAGAAGATCTGGGTAAGTTTGTAAGTATAAAGGCAGAACGTTAGTAAGCTCCACTCTTCATTATATAGACTCAGAGTATCTGCAGGTGAGCTCTCAAGCCCGGAAAGTTGTTGCCACATGAAAGGAAATCTTAACGGAATGTGTACATAACATGTAAATATCTCCAGGTCCCAAACTCTCCCAGGTGCACAGGGAGAAGGTCTACAGAAGGGCAGCAGAGACACTGGCTCACAGCACAGGCTCGAGGCTCTGCCATTTACTGACCACGTGATTTGGGACAAATCCCCCCTCCCCAAGCCCACACCTCCGTTTCCTCATCTGTAAAACGAGGATGAAAAAAGTCCTCGCCTCATGGGGTTGTGGGGAGAATTAAATGAGATTAAATTAAATTCCATGTGAAATGGGCTTAGAATGATACCTGGCACATGAAAAGAAGAGCTCAAAACTGATGACTCAAGATGAAACAGACATGACGAGTTACCTCTTCTCCTCCCTCGTCCACTAGCGTCCACGTCCCAGACGCAGGCCCCGAGGACGATGGCTTCCGCTCGCTGGGCTTCATGTGGCACAGGAACGCTGCTCGATTTCTGAAGGACGAGGGCAATGGCTCAATTACAGAAACATAAACCCAGAAAGCCCGCTGCGTGCATTCTGGATCGCCTACTCACCCCGAAGAGCAGTCAGACACCGACCTACTGTTCAAATGGTTTAAACTGGTACACAAGAAATAGGAAGTGGCTAAAACTCCCGGGGACCAAAACTTCACTAAGTCTGGCATAGAGACCACTGCTGTTCTCAGTTAGTAAGGATGAGTAACCACAGAGAAGCAGTTATGCAGCACACAGCTCCTGCACAAGGCGGGACCTCAGAACACTCAGGACCACTGCAGGACCTTCACTCCAGCTGCTTACAACGTGTACAGGAAACAAGCTCATTGAATAAAAAAGGAAAATGTGCAGGTAACGTGCAAGCAGGTTTAGGGGGAAAAGCACATCTAAATGCTAAAACATTAAGTCAAATCACATCTACCACGTGTAGGAGCAGCCCCCTGCATCCAGGCAGCGAGAGAGAGGACTCTGGGAGCATTCCTGCCTGCCAGGCTTTTACACGGTGGTGGCTGGACCTGGCGATGAGGTGTAATCAGAGAGGTTCCTTCTCTGAGACCACCAGCCAGTTCTCAGTTTGCTGTTCCTTCCTCTCTGGCCTGACCCTGAAAATTCTCCCATTCCTTCCTTTCTTCCCCAAGAACTCTCCTCTGTGACTTCCAGCTCTGTAGCTCTACCGCTACTCTTTAAATCCCAGGAGCTCCAGCCCTGAGCTCCACGTGTCCACTGGCAGCTGTCACCTGCAAGCCCCAATGACCTCAAATTTTCCTCCTTACCCAACAGCTCTCCTTTCTGCCTTTTCAGTCTGTTGAGGCTGCCAGCACCCTCTCAGTCACTCAGACTCAGAGTCTACAGGTAGGTCCGAGACACTCCTTTCTCCCATTTTCCTTATCTAATCAGCTCCTTAACCCTTTCCTAGGAAGGATGCTCAGGTACCCCATTTTCTCCTTCCCACTACTGTTACCCCAATTCAGGCTTAGAGGCAGAAAGGTTTTCCTCAGCCAACAGCCAATAGTACTAACACAGTTCAAGGTCACCTAGACACAGCTCTGCCCTCTCCCCCAGTTAAGGATGTGCCCTCCTGATGCGGGGCTGGGTTCTAGAATCAGGAGAGCCAGACGAATGCAACTGTCATTCAATGAAGCAGAAGCACATCTGCCGCCTCCAGTCCATCCTGATCTTCCTTAAATGCAACTTTTACCCTTGTTCAGAAACCCTCAGTTGCTACAAAGCCGAGACCATCGCAGATCTCTGTCTTAATTTCAAGGCCTTCTAGTCCGACTCACCCTAACTGTTCATCTTTATTACCACCTCCCACACACCCGTCCACTCCAGCCAAGCTGATCGCCTACCTGTTGCCAGCACAGCCATCCTTCCCTGTTCTCTCCACCCACAATGCCCTTCTTACTGCTCCTCTCCTGCTGAAATCAGTTTCGTTCTTCAAACCCCGCCAACCCCTGGGAACCCCCTCTGACTACCATCCCACTCTTTTCACCCTCTTCATTTCCATTGCATCAACCATAGCTTCACATGATTTAGCACTTGAATCTCTTTGAGGGTTTTTTTTTCTCTGCCACTAAATCTTTCCTTCTAAGGAACAGATCATCGTTTTTTTTAATCCCCAAAGAAGTACCACAACCTACATGACAGGAGTGAAAAAATCCACTAAAAAGGGGGACCCAAAAGAGCTCATCATTTACACATAAGTGGTTAAAAGGGTCACTTTGGGACAAAGGATATTCAACCCAAAGAAAACCCACAGTGTTAAATTCTGGAATACTGACTCTTCCTCCTTTAGCAGTTGTTTGGATCTGGACAGTTTAGGAAGCTAATCGTTTGATAATAAGAATATTTTAATTTCTACTTCACAAAGTTCTTCCAACACTTACTTGACAGGAGACATTAGCAGGGCAAGGGACTGCATAAAATGAAAGACCCCTGATGGGTTATTCATAACTTTGATCTGAAATCAGAAAAGGAAAAGGCATATTGTACAAAATCAACAACCCAAATCTCCATAATCTCAGTTCACCCACATTCTGACGAAGGATACAAGAAAACAAAAGTGGAACTGGTACCTAATCCACCCGAGTGAGGACACATCTGGTGGGTTACCTGGCAGTCGTGACTGGGCTGTGTTCAAAGCGTACAGGTGGCTGAGCCATTTACATCAATTACCTGGAACAGTGTGAGAGGCAGGAGGCTGCTGCCACTTTAATCCAAACAAAAACAAAAAAACTTTCCTCTACCTAAAAGGATTCAAACTTCTCGCCACCAGAAATACTAAAGAAAAGGTAACGTGGAGAAGTTGAACTTGGTATACATTTGGCTCCTACCTACCCATCTGAGTGGTTGCTGTGAGTAACAACACAACCCAAAGGCAAGCAGCAGAGAAGAGAAACCATAAATCATATAATCAACGCCTAAGTTGATTATATGAGAGTTGATCACACAGTCCTTAGATCTCTGTTTGTGTTAAGTAACTCTGAGATGCTGGTGGTTTCTTTCTGTATCTGTACCAGTTGCGGTGTGAGGTGTACTAATTTAGGACAGTGTGATGAGTATTACAGAAAAAAAAACTCCTAGCAGGCCTTCCTGCACAGAAATTTTACATTATTAAATATCACTGAACCCACCAAGACAGACTACAGCTGAACTTCTGCCATTTCTATCTTAATTTCATCAATTTGGGTGGTCCAAGAAGTTGCAGCATAATAACACCTATGAATATATACTGGATATATTCTAATAATTTTATTTTAAATATCAGTTTTTTTTAAGCAATTTCTTCAAGAAAAATGTTTACCAATATCGTATCTGGGTTGCGGGAGGGTATAGCTCAGTGGTAGGGCATGCTGAACACGCTCAAGGTCCTGGGTTCAATCCCCAGTGCTTCCATTAAAATAAATAAATATATAAACCTAATTACCTTCCCCTCCCCCATAAAAAAGTCATTACCATTTTTTTTCAATTTTTAAAAATAAACAGTATCATACCTGGATAAAAGGAATAGCCCATTTACTAACACCAGCTGGGCAGCGAAGAATATGGTTTAGAAGAAAGAGGTGATCTCCAGGACAGCCGACTCTTTGTAACACTGACACCTGAACAACAAAGGACACGTGATTTTACTATTTATAAGGACAAATGTGTCTAGGGCTCTAGTGAAATCACTTATCCAATATTTAAATACATGGGATCTTCCAAAAGAGTAACCAGACCTAAGACATACCATTGGCTGGTTGAGCACCTACCACAGTGATACACAAAGGCCTCTGAATCCATAATCACTGTGATAAGAATATCATAAGAAGTTTCTCTGCAAACCCAATCTTTTTTATCTGGCAAATTACAAATCACTAGTGTTCCTGACCAGATGTGAGTAAATATAAATCAAGCAGTTTAACCTATTTCCAGTTTGTAATAGTTTCTCAAATCCAAAAAAGCATGCTTAGAACCTCAACCTATATCTAAGAACTCTAGCATGAACCCAAAAAAAACACCCAAGGCAGCCCCATCAAGAAACACGACCAATAAACAAACCCCTCCCCCGACGTAAGACATATCTAATATCTTTCCTGAATTTCCCAAATCCTGACTCCTTTCTTTGCTTCCCCTTAAAAAAATTGTTGTAAAGTATGACTAAGTGCAGCATTAAACATAAGATGATAAAAAAAAGTGATATGGACAATTTTTAGCTCACATACCCATATTCTGAATATACATCCAGTCTCAAATTTAGCATGCTTCCCACACTTCCATTTCCTCCAGAGTTGAAGGCCAGAGATCATCTAAGATAAAGCTTATCCAACAGAAAAGCACTGTATGTCTAATAATGCACTGGGTAAGGCTATCTTATTTCCATGTGCCATAAGCAAAGAAAATGTCACTAACATATTAAATGAATTAGCTGAAGAAACCATTGAAGGACAAAACTATAATGCAGTCAGAGATAATTCTTAAATTATCAGGGAAATAATAGAAAGACTACAGTATCTACTTCTATTTCCTTACCAATTTCTGCAGCCACAGAAGAATATC